AATTTTCAGCCATGGTGTTGCCATTGACCCGTTTGACCCGGAAGGATACTCCATTTGTTTGGACACAAGAATGTGAAGAATGCTTTCAGAGCCTTAAGGAGAAACTGACGACCGCTCCGGTGTTAGTACTTCCCGACCCGGAAGGTGAATTTGAGCTATACAGCGATGCTTCCAAGAAGGGATTGGGATGTGTGCTGATGCAAGATAGAATGCAATTTGCAATATTCAGCGATCACAAGAGTTTGAAATACTTGTTTGATCAAAAGGAGCTGAATATGAGACAACGACGGTGGACCGAGTTCCTAAAAGACTATGATTTTGAATTGAAATATCATCCTGGCAAGGCTAATGTTGTAGCTGATGCACTGAGCCGTAAATCTGTGAGCATATCAAGCATGATGATTAGAGATTATGATGTGATAGAGAGGTTCAGAGATATTCAATTATCTAAAATCTTTCCATGTAAAATTTGTGGCTTTGAAATCACGAGCATTGAGAATGAACTGATGACCAGAATCAAAGAAGCCCAGCTGCAAAATGAAAGTGCTAGACGACTAAAAGGTCAGAGTGGTGTATCCTGCAATGATGAGGGTATACTATTATATCAGGGTCGTGTAGTTGTACCTAGGCAGTTGGCGGAAGAAGTGATGACAGAGGCTCATAAGGGTCATTTTACAGTTCATCCGGGAGCTACAAAGATGTATCAGGACCTAAAGATGAATTTTTGGTGGCCTGGTATGAAGAAAGACATTGCCGAATTTGTCTCTAAGTGTCTCATTTGTCAGAAGGTAAAGATTGAGCATCAAAAGCCTTCTGGTATGTTGCAACCTCTGGATGTTCCTGAATGGAAATGGGAGAGTATCTCCATGGATTTCGTAGTGGGATTGCCGCGAACACAGGCTAGTTATGATTCTATATGGGTGATTGTGGATAGATTGACAAAATCCGCACACTTTTTGCCAGTTCGGGTAGATTTCTCTGCGGAGAGATTGGCTAGGCTCTATGTGAAGGAGATTGTGAGGCTTCATGGGGTGCCTGAAAGCATTGTTAGCGATCGGGACCCGAAGTTCACTTCTCGCTTCTGGGGAGCATTGCAGGAGGCTCTTGGCACTCAGTTGAGACTGAGCACTGCTTATCACCCACAGACGGATGGTCAGACTGAGAGGACCATTCAGACGTTGGAGGATATGCTGAGGGCTTGCACCCTGGAGCAGGGTACTGCATGGGATCGATATCTCCCACTGGTTGAGTTTTCATATAATAATAGTTTCCATGCTAGTCTGGGTATGGCTCCCTACGAGGCCTTGTATGGTCGCAGGTGTAGGACACCTACTTGTTGGTCAGAGGTTGGAGACACAGAGCGGTTTGGATTGGATTTTGTTCAGGAGACTACTGAGCAGATCAAAATGATTAGGGATCGTCTGAAAAAGGCTCAAGATCGTCAGAAAAGTTACTATGATCTCAAGCATCGACCTCTAGAGTTTGAGGAGGGAGATCATGTGTTCCTGAAGCTGTCACCGGTTACGGGTGTGGGACGAGCCCTTGGAGTGAGGAAGCTGAGTCCGAGATTTATTGGACCCTACCAGATTCTTCGTAGGGTGGGACCGGTTGCCTACCAGCTTGCCTTACCTCCGCAATTAGCAAATTTACATGATGTGTTTCATGTTTCTCAGCTGAGGAAATATGTAGCTGATCCTTCTCATGTGGTTCAACCTGATAATGTTGAAATCCGGGAGAATTTGAAGACTCCTATTGGACCACTGAAGATACTCGAAAGAGATGAGAAGAAGCTGAGAAATAAATCTATTCCTATGGTGAAAGTCCAGTGGGAAGGAAGGACGCCTGAAGAGTCCACTTGGGAGCGGGAAGATGAGCTTCTCCGGCAATATCCTGAGTTTAAGGACAGGTACGTTCTTGATTTTGCGGACAAAATCGCTAAAAGGTGGGGTGACTATAATAGCCCATATTAATTAATTAGGAAATCAAGTGTAATTAATTAATTAATTAAACATGTTTTACTGGGTGAAATTAAGTATGAGGCTTAATAAAATGAATCTGAGTCACTTTGGAGTTAAAAAGTGTACTCAGTGAAAATTAAGGGGTATAAATGGGTACTGTCAAAAGTACCCAAAATATAAAAATAAAAATAGTAATATTCCTAGAATAATATTCCAGACTTTTGGGTAAAGTTTGGTAATTATTGGAGTTAAATAGATAGACGAACCAATACCCGCTTAGAGCCACTTAACCTATGTTAAGTGACTTAAGTCACCAAATGACCCTCATTTCCCACCCAGCCCGTCGACGCCCAGAAATAGAAAAGAAGGAGAAGAGAAGAAGAAGGAGAAAGAGAGAGAGAGAAGAGAGAGAGAGAGTTGTGTGATTTTCAACCGATTGGAGTGATTCAAAAGCCTAAATCACTTAAATCTTCCCCTCTTTCATAATCCTAGCTTTGTTTTGAGTGGGGAGCATTGTGGAGAGGGATATTGCCTCTCAAAAATTCGGCCCTTTGGAGAAATTTGGGGTTTTGAGAGTTTCTACCTCCATTGAAGCTTGAGGAGCCATCAATCCTTGGTTGTGTGACCATTGGTGGTAAATTCTAACCCTTGAACCTCATGATTCCTTGAAATTTGCATGAGTTAGGGTTTGTGAATAGTAAATTGGGATTTTTATGAAATGTAGTTGAATTAGCTATGTTCTAGGAAGAATGGAGCTTAGAGCATGTTATGGAAAATGCTAGGAATGTCATTTAATCGGTGGAAATGAGCCTAGATAGTCATTTGATAATTGTTCATAATATTGGAAAATTCATGCTTGGATTGGTTAGTATTCTAGCATGTTGAACAATTAGTGAGTTGAATGATTGATTGGATCCTTGTGATGTCTAGGATTGAGACATTTGGACCAACCGTGAGTGATCAACCATTGGAGCAAGCTATGGAGCTTGAATAGCTCATTGGAATTGGTAAGCTCATACTTGTGTTGTGCTTTGAATTGAGTAATTGATGGTTGATTGTGAAATACTCTTGGATGCAATGTGTTGATTGCATTACACCATGTGTAGGTGTATGTTTGTAAAAGTTGATTGCTGAAACTGTTGGTGAAGAACAAAGGTTGACTGAAGCATTGAGGTAAGCCTTCGGACCTTGGGTGTAATTCCCTTGACTGTTCTACCAAGCCCTGAAAGGGTGGAGGTTGTGATTGTGTATATAAATGCAATAAAATAGTGTAATGCTTTGTTATACGTATGTGTATGCATTTGGTGTGGCATAGGATGGTGTTTCCCTATGTTGGTATGTGGCATGACGATGCGTAAATCATACTTGGTAGTTAGCTGGCCAGTAGGACTATTTGCATCTGAGTTTCCTTAGGACAGCTTGAGAGCTCGAGGGATTTCTCCTGGAGATGTATTGCACTTTGCATAGATATGTATTTACTGCATTATTATTGTTATTGCTATTACACTGATATGGAACTGTGGGGTGGAGAGATGCTCCAAGGACCCCTGGTTTACTGGATATATTCGTATATCTCACCCCGTGTTGTGGGGACCCCCTTTCAGGTAAGGATGCTGCAGGAGCCTCTGGTGGCAAGTGGCCATACCTAGATTATGCATGAAATATGGCACTTCTTTGAGTTTATGCATGCCTTTTGTAGTTGACATGTATAGGATTTTATTTTGAAAGCCCATGATCATTTGTATATCTTGATTCATTGGATGAACTTAGCCTATGCTCATGCCTTTGGTTACACCTTTTGTTGATGGGAGCCAAGGGAATGATCATAGTGTTTTGTAAGCTAAGTTCTATGATTTGTAAAGGATATGTAATGTAAATGACGCCTACTTGGAATTCAATATATGCATGCTTGTTATGTATTGAGTTGTTGAATTGGTTGGGCTGAAAATCAATTAGGTACCCTCTTCGTTTAAACTGGTAAACGATGAGAAAACAAAGGTCATGCTGTCCAAATTCTAACTAAATCTCATGAGGAGAGGTTGGATGAGTGCTAGGATTTAGTTTTGGGGCATGGACATTTGGGGTTTGTAATGGGGATGCATTTTCCCCTAGGCTTGGACTTGAGAAATGTGGGAATTGGAATTCCCTGGCAGCGCGCTTAAGCGCCCAGGAGCGCGCCCAAGCGCCCTGCTGCCCCTGCGAGTGCCAATGCATTCTGCCTCCTCGCGCTGGAGCGCCCAAGTGGGGGCTTAAGCGCCCAGGATTGCGCGCTGGAGCGCCCTGGCTCGCGCTTAAGCACCCTTTGCTGCAGAAAGTTGTGATGCTTACTGCCCCCTCGTGTTTTAGCGCCCAGGGTGGGGCTTAAGCGCCCAGGGTTGCGCGCTTGAGCGCCCTGGTCCGCGCTTAAGCGCCCTTCGCCACTGAAGGAGGAGATGCTTCTGTCTCTGCGCGCTAAAACGTCCCAGTGGGAGCTTGAGCGCCCAGGCTAGCGCGCCTGAGCGCTCTGTCACGCGCTTAAGCGCCCATCCACACTGGAAATGCTGATGCTTACTGCCTCCGTGCGCTTAAGCGCCCAGATGGAGGCTTTAGCGCCCGATAGCGCGCGCTTGAGCGCCCGGTAGCGCGCTGAAGCGCGCTGGGCCTGTGACCAACACTCTCTTGTGTTGCTTCAAATGGTCCTAACTTGGGCTACAGTGCTCCGATTTGAGCACGGTTTGAAGCCACAGGTAGCTAATGAAGAAACCTACAATATAGTAGAAGTATTGAACTAAACAAGAAGTAAATTAATGGTTTAAAAATGGGAAATGAACATGATGTTAAGCTTAATTTATCTGTTTCCGCAAGGTAATATGGTTATGATCACGAAATTGGGTATTATAAGTTCGGTACGTTTTAAAATGAAAAATTTATCCGGATTTTAATGGAACCCATGTGATTGTAACTGCGCTTAATATCATAATGCGATGTTAACAAACCGGTTCTAGAACGGGGTGTTACAATATATAATTAGAGCCGACAAAACGTGCTCAGCTCGGCGGCCCAACCCGCTAACGGGGCGGGGCAGACTGAGTTTTTCAACCCATCTCAAAAGCGGGGTGGGGCGGAGCGAGCTCATTTTTTGGCGGGTTAATGGCGGGCCGAGGCAGGCCAGTGTAAAATAGGCTCGGGCTGGCGGCCCAACCCGCCAAACAGGGCAGGGCGGGTTTAATTTTTTAGTCCACTTTCAAAAGTGGGGTGGAGCGAGCTAGTTCATTTTTTGGTGGGATGGGGCAGGTCGGGCCGGGCCGCCCACTTTGTCACCTCTATATATAATATTATTTTTTAAGCCCTTCCGTTTCTCAATTAATTTGTGTTTGAAATATAGTTTATGTTTTCATTTAATTTACGATATTCATTTAGTTCCCATTAAGGGTATATACTATTATTTTTTTATTAATTTATTACTCGTATTGTTGTTAACCGATTAAGTGTGAAAATGAATATGAGCCTCTTTGGATCCTCTTATTTTTAAGTTAGAAGCTACTTATAAGCTAAAGCTAAAAAAAAACTTAAAAAAAGAAGCTAGAAGCTGTTTGGAAATTACATAAAAGTTTTAGCTTAAAAATGACTTAAAAGCATATATTTCAAGAAAATTATCTCTCTCTATCTTTATCACTCTTCATTTAAAAAAAAGCACACAATTCAATATAAAAAGATAAGACCTTAAAAAAAAAGCTCCTCTTAGGAGCTTTTAATTTTTAGTTTTTTTCTTCATTATAAAAAAAAGAGTTTTTCGTTATAAGAGCTTTTTCCAAAACTTGTTTAGCCTAACTTATGCTTATAAGGAGCTTCTAGCTTAAAAAAGAAAGGATCCAAACAGGCACTATGATTCATGGGGTTTAAAGCAGACACACGACAATTTTTGTGGCATTTTTGTTCTCATTATTATTGTTATTAACCGATTAAATATGAAAAGAAATACGGTTCATGATGTCTAGAGCGGACACATGTCATTTTTGTCCTCTAGTCACTTTTTTCTTCTAGTTATATATAGATTTCTTGAATTGATTGTTTAAACAATTAATTTCCTTTATTTTAATTTTGTGAAAAATCCCCTTCAGTGTTTTTGAAATTCATTCTAATATTAGTTCACATCCTACCTTAAATGCATTTTATATAAGTTTACGTTCCGATTTATATTTGTTTTTTGTTTATTAACTTGTAATCTAACCATGTACTTGATGATTAAGTGAAACTCCAGGTTCAACCTAGGTTTGTCCCGTGTTGCAAACTGAAGTACTATTTTAATTTGGTAATGTCAAGAAAATTCATCAATCCGCAAATAATTTGGCAATGGCAAATTGGCAATGTCAAGAATAACGTGTCAAAATTAATTTTTCATAATCTAATTTTTTTTAAAACAATTATGTTTGATCCATCTCATTTTATATATTTCTATTTTTATTTCATTTACATATTTTGTAACAGTTATATTTTATGACACCATTTTTATTAATTATTAGATTGATATTAATGAATTATTGATATCAATTAGTATTACTAAAATGATTAAACTGATATCAATTAGTTATAATTGATATCAATTAGAATTATATTATAATTAATTAGATTATCTTCAATTCATTAGGACTATTATTATTATTATTATTTATCGTCACCATTTTATTATAATTTTTTGTTTTAAAAAGCTAATTGGCTGAATGGATTAATTTTTTTTATTTCCCCTTAATTGTTCTTCAATTCCCTCAATCTCTTCTAACTTTCTTGCCTCACTTCTAATCTGCTGATCTTATAATTTGCATATTTATCAACTGCGACATGGTGTTTCCCAACCCTCTAATAGATCACGTGATTATGTGTCTGTAGATGATAAATTATTTTTATTATAGTTAGTCATGACCAAACTCGATACCTTACAATTCAATGGGTTAGATCCGCTTACTTTTTTTTTTTTTTTTTTTATAATCTTTACAATTCTTTAGGATTGAAATAAAAAGAAAAGGGAAATATCTGACAATTAAAGGAGATATTATTATTCATTATATATATAAAATTAGTATAACTTAGTGTAGTAAGAATGGAGAGAAGTAAAATATACATAAAAATTGTATATAAAAAAAAGAATCATAAAATTGGATTAAAAGTTGGGTTGCTCTGACTTCACTGGTGGACAAGACGAGGATGCACAACTGTCATTCTGTAGATTGAGGCTATTTGCAACCATAGAGTCACTAACCAAGCCAACATCATCGTCATCAAAATTGAGGGCACCTCTAACCTTCCTGGTGCTACAAATAAAATAAAAGACCAAATAAGGACATGTCATCACCTCTTTGGTAATGTCAATATATATAAATACATTTCAATCCTCAAAAGCAAAGATATAAAGAAAAGCATACCCATTCAAACGGTTATTGATGGCTGTCAGGTCTTTAGAAGGGCTCTGATATGCATGAGTGCTCTCCCCAACACAGGCATAATAGCTTTTTGAGTTATTTGATATTAGAGCATCCATCTGCTTTGTACATAATAAATGAATACAGTTATGCTCCATGAAGAAAACAATTTGCTATTTAAAAAAAATGTCTGCTCTGCAATGAGAACTAGTTGCTACCATAAGAAATAATATATATCAAACAAGGAAAATGATACTGACTCATAGGTAAGAAGCCAAGAAATCATTGCAAACATCATGTATTAATGACAAGAAATATGTGGTTGAGCTTTTGTATTCAATTATGATATAGAAGGCTAGGCAAACCACAGAAACCTTCCATAAAGCTAGAACAGGTTATAGCATTGTATTCAATCAGTGGACAGGTTATATATCATGTTTTCAAACTTTATTCTTTATAAACGCACTTTATGCTTCTTCAAATTTTGCAGCTAAAGCTCTCAAGTAAAAAATTGGATATTTCTTTCTAGTAAGTAATATCTGTCAGCTCAGAAAGATTAAATTCTCCAAATTGTCAGTATAAACGGTAAAGTTAATTGATTTGGCTCATATTCCTGCATCTCACGAACTAAAAAGTTAAAAACCCTTGATTTCTACAAATCTGGGAAAATGAAGGCGAAGGAACCCTTGATTTCCTTTTGCGCGTTGATGTACATAAAGTGGTATTAAGGTTTGAATTTGCATGATCTTTGAATCAAAGACTCTACATGAGTTGCCAATTCATGCTAAAAATCGAGACACTCTTCCCGCATCAGGTAGTTTCTTTTCTTTGATGAAAAAATATATAACATTCATTATGAAGATAGGAGTTTATATCAGCTAAAGATGCTAACGGCTGCAAACTTTAATCCACCAAAACAAAGATTTTGTTCTCTTGGTCAGTTCAGCATGTCCTCAGAAGAAGTTGGTAAACGAATTCAGGATGGGATTTCTATAAAAATTATATGAAAAATCAATCAATGAATTTGTCCCAGACTAATTGACTCTTGAGTCATAAACATAGTTTTCAAGATTCGAGACACAAGATCAAGAATTAAACAAGGAAAAATTAGAAATAAGAGTATAATAACACTCAATAACCGCTCAACGACTATTATAATAACCCTAACCTGCGTAACTGTGAGATTGCATTGGATTAATTATTTAATCATGCATAATGTAGTGTAATTAAGTGAAAGGCTTACTTGAATTAGATTAAATGTTAACTAAGTACATTGTAGATAAAATAAGTAAAACACTTAGTTCAATCAATGTGAATTGTATTTAACAGGAAAAACACCCTTTTAATGAGTAAGTGGGCTTAAGTGGGGGAAATAGGCTTTTATGCTAAAAGGCCCTATCAGCCACTCCTCGCTGGGGAGCTCGTTGGAGCGAGCTATTCAGCGAGCGTGAAAAATGCTCGCTGATGGTTGCTCGCAGGAGCAAGAAGCCCAGCGAGCAGCGCGAAAATAGGAGAACACATTTTAGTGACTTAATTTCACTCACCAAACTCACTTCTTCCCTCACCAAACCGAGAGTTCAGCCATTTATGAGCTTGGAACCCTTAGAAACACAGCTTCTTCTAGGCTTGATGAAACCACTTGGTGTGTGAACCATTGTTGCTTAGAATCTCAAGAGAAACCTAACCTATAATCCAAAAACTTAAGAAACCAAGTGTGTGGGGAGGTTTTCTTTGTTGAAAGTGGCGCCCCATCCATGGAAGTGTGGCTTGGAGTGACTCATTGCTTGAAGTAAGGATTGGAGAACATTCTGTGCATGATTCTAGGTGAGTTCATGTTAAGATACAAGCATTTGGATGGTTTCTATGGTAATGAGTATTTTCGGGTTCCATTTGAAAATGTGTGGCTTGGATATGTTGTTTAGAGTTTAAATGAGGCTTAGGTCATGTAGAAAATAATGCTTGGATCATGATTTCATCGGTGGAAATGTATTCAAAAAGCCAATTGGGACATATTGCATATTTTCGAAAAATGCATGCCTAGGTGTAGTGATTTCTTGCATTCCAAGTAATGGATATTGGAGTGTTTGATGTTGGTATTGATTGGGTTCATATCGTTGGTAGGATTAAAGCAAGTGAACTGTCTTTGATTGATCAAGAATTGGTGGAGCCAGTGGAGCTTGACTTGGTTGCTTGAGTTGAACCAAGTGTAGGTAAGTTCTTCACCTTGGAAAGTGTGTTGAATTGCCTATGTTATTGATGAATATAGAGGTATTCATTGACACATGGGGTTGATTGTATTACACCTTGATGTAGGTGTTTGTTTGTAAAGTTTGTGTCCTTGAATAAAGATTGATTGTGAAAAGTCTTGGTGGTGAAATGTTGGTTGGAAGCGATTGAGGTAAGTCTTCGGACCTCGGGATTTATCCCACTATTGTTCCACCAAGCCCTGATGGGGTAGTGGTTATTGCATGGTGTATGTAATTGCAATATATAATAGTTTAATGCATTGATATATGTGTAACATCCTGAGCGGTGACGAGGGCGGGGAGTGATCGCCGATGCAAAGAGGCACGGACAAGGAGCGGCTCCTGACAGATTTCCAGCGGGGGGTTACATGCATGAAAGAATCGAATCGACACCCGAAAGAGAGGGATTCCAAAGGCTGTGCAGGTATAAGACTGCACAGTTTGGGATAACTTATAAGAATTAATTGGTACTACCTATGCTAACAAGATGCATCTTCTTTTCGGTAGCCCGGAACGGAAGAACTCCATAGTTAAGCGTGCTTGACTTGGAGCAATTCTGGGATGGGTGACCTCCTGGAAAGTTTTCCCGGGAAGTGTGCGAGTGAGGAAAAAGCACACTGAAAAGTCTCGTGTTAGTATGTGGGGATAGTCGTTGATTCTTGAAGCGGCCGGGCGTTACAATATGTATGTGTATGCTCTGGGTGTGGCATAGGATGGTGTTTCCTTATGTTTGGTATATTGCAAGATGTTGCATAATCATACATGGTAGATTCCCTGGCCAATAGGACTATTTTTTATTTGAGTATCCTGTGGATGGCGAGAGTGACGAAGGGATGTCTCGTAGAGATATTTTAAATACTGCTTGGATATGTATATATGTATTGTTTATTGTTGCTTTTACACCTTAATTGAACTCTGGGGTGGAGAAATTCTCCAAGGACCCCTGATTTACTGAGATGTTTATCTCACCCCTTGTTGTGGGGACCCCTATTTAGATACTAAGGGTGCAGGAGCATTCACTGGCAGGCGGCCACAGTAGACAGAGATTGTTGCATGTTGTTGATGTTGTTATTTTGAGATGCATGCCATTTTGTAATCAATTAAAAGTTAACTTATGTCTTAAGAAAGAAGCACAATTATATAATAGGAATTGGGATGTAAGAGCACCCTAGTTTGTTAGGCTATGGATTGTCATTCCATGCTTCATTTAGGTACAAAAGTGGGCAAATTGTTCCAAAGGTTAAGCCAAGAAACAAAGTGACCCTATCAAGTTTTTGGGTTGCTTGTTGGAGACCTCACTTCAGCGAGCCAATTATGGTCTTGGCAGTAGCCAAGTCCGAAATAGGTGAGCCCACGCTGGCATGCTCGCTTTAGAGAGCTGGCCAACGATCAATTATGAGTGAATAGAGCATTGCTTGCTCTTGGGCTCGCTTGAGCGAGCTAGGGAGCGAGAGGCAGGGGACCTGGGAAGTAGCCATTGCCTGGGGATTTAATTTGCTCGTTGTAGTGCTCACGCAAGCTGAGCGAAGTGCTCGCTGGGGAGATTGCTCAGCGAGGAGCGCAAGGAGCTGCCCAGTTTTCGGAACACTCAAAATTAAGGCTGTGAGGGGTATGGTACCCTCACAATAGTGTCTAAAAGAGATGACATTATATGTTCAAGCTAAGTATCATTATTCCGCAACGTTACATTGTTATAATTGCAGTTTGTAGTTTAATTTAAATACGGTATGGATTTTAATTAGAAATGGAAATTGTTTAAAAGAAAAAAGTGAGCCGTATTTTTAATTGAACTGCTGTAATTATAACTGGGCTTAATATCATACGTAATGATAACAAACCGGTACGTAACGGGGTGTTACAACTATAGTTCCTCACATAATAATTCTTTTTTCATTTCATCTGTCAGTTAAATGTGATATACTCACTAGTAATAGTGGTAAAACAAATAGTTCAAAGAAAAAAGAAAAACAAATAAATACCTTAGAAGATCGTAATGGAGAGACATATACATTACGTGACGAAGACACTTTTTTTGGAGACATATCAGGAAGGCTTGAAAAAGGGGATAATTTAGGAGATCCAGGAGATTGAGTCAAACGGCCTGGAAAGATAAGAAGTACAATAGCCAATGGATTGCAGAAAACGAATGGAAATGTAAGTCAGGTATACAATAAAAGCAATTTAGGAAACAAAATGTACCGTCAGTACTATTATTGACTTCTGGTTTCCCGGTACTGTGTTTTGTACCCCCAGGGCCTAGTTCAATCAGAAGTGGTTTTACAGAGGGAATGAATATTTCATTGTAAAATGAAATGATGCCAACATGCTCCTGACCAGTTCTCTGTTTCCAGATCATTTGTAAGGTCACAATTCACAGAAAAGCTAAGAGTCCAATTTGGTTACATACCCTGTTATGGCGTGCCAATGACCAATCAACAAATACACTGTGAAAAACTTCTGGTTTGGATTGCGGTTGCTTTCTATATTTGTATAAGATCTCTTTAAAAGTTAGGTTTAGTTGAGAAATCTGCAAAACATAATAGAATGAGAAACACGGAACAACTGAAGAGACTATTACTAACTGTTACAAGTTGCTGAAAGTAAAAAGAAACCTTAGAAACTCCATAAAAGCAACATAATATGATTTGGTCAATATGGCGATTGAAGAAGAGAGAGGTCCGTCGATTTAGGATTTGTTGGAAAAGACAGTATACATTCTCCCTCATCTGCTGTGATAATTTTAGCCTTTCAGCCATACCACTTATTCTGACTGCTCCTAACTTAATGATCTGGGAAACACAGGAACAAAATCTAACTAAGGCAACAAAGTCAATAAATCATATCTAAACACATGAAAACAAATAGCTGTCCTATCACTATGTAAACAAAAGCAGAAGTGACGTAGCAACCCACTTCCAGAAAGCAGCTTAAATTCTCAATATAAAAGAAAACACATATAGTAGTTCCCGGAAACATCTTAATGGACATAAGGTTGGAGCTTCAAAATCGCAGATTAGATGTCTTGCCATATTGAAGAACAAATAGGGTGTAAATACATGAAAACACATCAAAAGAAATACCCTTCTTCAGTCCACCAAACGATATTGATCACAGTTTCTGCACGTTCCCATTCTTAATAATTAAATTGAGATAACAGTATATTAAGGTACAATACCTTGGCAAAATCTATATTAATTACAGATTCTGCACGTGTTTCCCTTTAAAAAGAATTAGATTGTCATAACTGTATATTAAGATCTAGTACCTTGCCAAAAGCGATATTAATTGCAATTTCTGCACAAGTATCCCCTCCACCTCCTGGGTTTGGTCTTGTGGGACTGTAGAAAGAAACATTAAATGAAAAACAACAAAAGAAGAAAACAGTTAAGTGGCGAAAAATTTGAAGCAACACGCACTTATATAAGATAGCACTACCAGACTCATCCAAGTTATACCTGGCAAAAGCAGCCTGCATAGGAGGAGGGGGAAGCTTTGACTTAAGGTCACTGAAGGGCAGAAGCCGATCTTTCACAGGTGATGCAAATGAATTTCGTTCAGCTGACGAACTTCGATATTCTGTGCACAGTCGCTTTGGAGATCTGGTATGCCCATTCTGAGCTGAAATGCATTAATTGATGGATATGTTATTTAAGTTCGAAAAAGGTACTTTTTTGTGCTTTTTTAGGAATGGGAGGTGGGAGATTGTGCGGGGAAAAGGGGGGCGGGGAGGGGAAGGTGGAACAATGTTTAGCATCACTATATATATTATATAGTCATGGCAACTACTCTAAGGTTTGATGTGTGAACTAATAATTATTGAAATCTGAGTAAACATGACCTAAATCTGCAGGGTAAAACAATAAAACAATTACTTGGTGAAGTCTCAAGCTTCTGCAAGGAAGGCACTGGAGGCAACCCTCCACAAGAGAAGTTAATACGCATTGCAATTTCATCCAACGATGGCAATGGTGCAGCTAACAGTCCAAGACGATTTATTTCAGCAGAAAGGGCAGGTCTAGCAACTATCAAAGAATTATACATGGAGGAACCCTTTTCCCAAACCATGCTTTCCAAAAGTCGTTCTTCCAATGAATTCAGATGTCGCCTCAATTCTCTTGGGAGAGATTCCTCATGTCTAATGAAACTTTCTATGACCTTGGAAAGATCAAAAGCTGTAATTCCAGTCTTCTCCAGTACTGCAGGGAACAACATTGTTACAGTCTTGTGCGTAGCCAGGACTAGTTCTGCAGAACATGCAAGCATACACCAATGGAACCTCTCATTGGTTAGTAGCGATGTTAAATTAGTTGTACGCAGAGTTTCGGCTTCTGCTCTGCACATTGCTTCCAATACCCTATAGTATAACTTAAGGGCTTCCAATCTTCTCTGTCCCGCCCAGACATTGTCCATGAGGTTAGCACTTCCAGTTGCACATTGTTCTCCGAGAGGACTACTAGGAAATATAGCCTGCAATATAATCTGCGCCCTTCGCACCACATCACTTGTAACATCCCTATCACATGATGTCAGATATCTCTCCAGCTCTGGTGAGGGCTTTGATGGAAGTGGAGAAATGACAGTACGAAGCCACTTTGCAGTAACCATTGCTGTGCTTACAGGGGTGGCTTCCATCTTTGAATTTGTACTACTGGAAATGACATTAGCATGGGATGTAGGAGAACGATGGGGAGAGAGTGGACTTTTAATTGTCTTTGCAGGTGATGCCAACGAATCAAATTTCCTCTATAGAGAAGGTTAATACATATTTTAGGTGTTTTCTTATACAAGACACAACTAAATTTTGGAACAATTTTTTTCTTTACACATACCTTGACACCAGATTCTGACATAGAACCTCCAGACGAGCTTCCTGAAGCTAACAAGCTATCGTCCTCGTTAATGAACAACCTCTCATCAAGTTCGCCCTTGTTACGAATTGTGTAATCATAATCCTTTTCTAAGATTTTTAAATTGGATAGCAGAGATGCTTCCTCCATCAGATCTTCAAAATAGATCAAACCATCTACAAACGAGCATAAACATCAGTCAAAGATATTGTAGTCTTGATGCATAAAAAATCAATGACAAAGACTAGTTATTAAATGAACCTCTATCAAAATTCTCTAGGTTTTCAGTTTCAAATTCAGATGCTGGCAGGGGCTTTTTCTTCAATATATCGGCGATCAAATTATTAACATTCTCCATCGTTTTCCTCAAGTCATCTTCTGAAGAGTTATAAATGTTGCAAAGTGATGCAAGGAGGTCCACACCTTTGCTGCTTTTCTTAACTAAAGGACATTTCAATAGAATTAGAACAGAAATGGAATTAGAAAAGAGAGTCAATATTCAAAACCCACCTTTAAAATAGGATACATGGAAATGGGTGTGTGTGCACTGAAAGTGGCATGCATACATGTGAAAGGGAATCACCACTTGAAAGACTGAAAGAGAACAAAAATAATTTAAACAAAAGAGGGAATAAGAACAAAAAGGATTACCAAAGTGTGAAGAATCATGCACCTTGAAATTCCGAAAACGAACAGGAACATGAATAATCAAGATGGCCTGTAACAGATGCACCGAGCAAATGAGAAACTGATTCCTTCAGGGAAATGTTGAAAACGATAAGAGTGTCTATAGGAATCTAACTAACCAAGACAGAAACTAAACCACTGGTACAAGACACCAAGTCTTTGAAACAGCTGAAAGCATGTGCACGAAGTGCCAAGAAAAGTAGCCATCCAAAGCGATGGAACTCAGATATATGAACATTACCAGCTGAGTTGTTTTCAACGTTTGTACCATTTTCCAAGAAGAACTCTTCAAATACACGTTTATAGTACCTAGCAACATTAATTATTAAAAATGTGATGTCATGTAGGCATACTGCACTAAACATGATATTCAAAGCAAGTGACGTTATGCTACAAACATAAGAAGGATCAGCATATAACATGTTCAAGTATGAGAGATGACTAAATGATACCATCGTACTTCTGTTTCTTTCGATCTTTAGATGTGAATAGCAGTAGAGAGTTACATTGGAACATAGCATAGCTATAGATGGTATCTTAAATATTTAGTCTTCAATAACTAGCTATAAATATCTAGTTTTATATGCCGTATTTCAACAAGTTCATTACCAACTCATAAAGCTTGTGCTATACAAAGTACACCATCTCTACCAAATACACATTTTAATCTCCAACTAGGCATTATATCTCATTGAATTTTTTTTTTTTTTGTTCATTGAAATATACCTCATTTAAGATACCATCACAACATTAATAAAAAATGCGGTATCAGAAAATTAATACAACACATAAGGCAATGTGACCTGCACTGCCAACTCTCGTCAACAACTACCTTAGAAAAGGAATGTGGTATTGAAGGTACAAGGTATAATAAGAGTTATACTTGCTACAATCATGCTTTTGGCAATTAAATAAATCCTCAGGAAAATGAAGATTTGATTAGTTTATGTAGAATATTCTAGAGTTTTTTTACTTGTTTCCAGCTACTAGTCCCTTTGAGTAGTGTGATGCCTCTTCGGTTACTGTGTATTTTATTTATTACTTCTACTTCTTAACTACCTTGTAATCTGTATATAAAGATCCCTTTGGGTGTCAATCAATATATGAAAAAATACATTTCAGTCTTATTTCATCATGGTATCAAGAGCAGGTTATCCTGTGGTCATCTTGTAAACCTCCACGTTCTTTTTACGTTTTTTTTTCGTTTTCCATTTTCACTGTTCCTTAAAATAACTCAGAAACCATATCTGGACCCCTCCAATCACGAAACCAAGGCCACCATTGGACTCAAAAGCCATTTCCGAGTTGACCCATGATGGGACGTAAATTCGTTCTCATCTAAGCCCATTTTGATGGCAAAATACCATACGTTCCCTCATCTGATGAGCAACTTCAGCATGAAAATCACTTGTTTTACACATTTGTGACAAAAACACAGTGGGGGAACAGATGGTAACGTATTCCTTTAAAATATATTAAAAGGGGAACGGACTGAGACGCATTTAATGCACCTGCTCCATTCATTTAATGCTTTTGTACACTTTGCAGGTAACGTAGAGTTAAAGACTTCTAAAAAGCAAGGCGGTGCACCAACTAAGCAGCTGGAAATGTGAAGAGCAGAGAATCAAGAGTTCTCATTGGCTGAAAACAAAAGCAAAGCATGGGAAGGTCTGCAAACAACGGCTAAGCATCACCAAATCCTGTTCCATCCAGCAATTCACGCAAGCTTCACACTCTGCTGCCACAGTCCCGTCCCCTCATTCAAGCAACTAGCTCCAAAGGAATTACAGTCTTGCCACTCTTCTTTCAGCTATAAATAGGACCACCCTCACACAAAAACATCATCGAATCCTGGAGGGTTTGCAGTTCGAAAGGAAGAGATCACTTAACTTAGTTTAATTTTAAGTTGTAACTGTAGTTAAGTGACAACCCCTCTTCTCTTCTCTGTAAACAACCATCAAGACTCCTCACGAGCAAATACCCATCTTTCTCCATTTTTTGTTTCTTTTTGTAAACTATCTTTTAAATTAATATAAGTGTTTTTCTCTTCGTTCCAATCGTTATCTCTTGACTGAATCTCGGGTTTATGTGATCTCAGTTGAGAATAATTATGTTTAAACTATCAGCCATGAGCTGAACTATCTGTGGAACGGGTAAGCTGTGAAACTCTTAAAGAACTATTTTCAAAACTCTTGACCGAAGCTTTTTGTATTTCTTTGGCTAAGTAAGCTATATTCATTCTGCGCCAAAGGAAATTGGGTACATATTGAGAAAGGAACTTCCATAAGGAAGGGATTTCAGACAGCTTAGCCATTGGGGGAAGGTAGATGTCATGGCAAAAACGCTACTGGTCACCTTAGGAATAAGGGGCCAACTCGTCCATTTTAAGGTTCTGAACTAAGTACCTGTTGGAGTCAAGGGAGCCATAGGAATATGGAAACTTGTGAGCCATCTAGACCATGAGCTGAGGAATCAGAGTTGGCAGGCAAAGAGACTGGGACAAAGCCAAAAGGTACTAAATCTTGAGCAGAGAAAACAGCTCCTTTAAGAGTGAAGCAGTGAATCCGTTCCTTCTGTTAAACTGTTTTAACCACCACCCTGTTGTCTCTTGATTATAGTTATTTCTGTTTTAGTAGTTTTTATTTTATTTAGTACTTATAAAAACTCCAATGATTATTATCTCACCTTCTTCTAGACAGGAAGGATCACATACATAACGCAGCGAGCAACTGTTTGCCATCAGATTGAATCAACTGTTCCTGAGGAACGTTGTCAAGACAGTAGGGAACGTTTGACCAGACAGTTCATTTACTAACTTTTCTTCTCATTTTCATTCTTTATAAACAGTGATAAAACAATAATTAACACTCTATCCTCGTGGGAACGATAATTTAGGCATTAATACTCCCTTTATTACTTGATGCGTGCACTTGCGCACTTGGGTTGGAACTAAGGGACGAATCTGTGTTCTGCAAGAACAGAGGAACGTCCCCTATCAGAACTTATATTTTTCCACCATCAGCAAACCACCCAACAACCCACACCAGCCCTGTCGCTGGAAAGTCAGACACGCGCCGCCACGTGAGCCACGCGCCGCCCTACCGGCCTCCGTTTGTCACGCGGCTTCCACAGATCGACTCGCCTGACCTTCCTCTTCCTGTTCTGGGGGTTTAAATCACGGTTGGAGCACTCTTCTTGCTGGGTCCAGTTGGTTCCTCTTCGTGACTTGTTCCTCTCCTTCCTTTTTGAAGGATGGAAGTTGAAAATATTGAGGCTGAGAATAAGCATTCTGAAAAATCATCCGGTAATGTTTCCGGTGTCTCTCCTCTTCCCTGTTCTTCGTCTTCCGGAGACAACCCAGCTATACAGATTACTAACCACCGTTTAAACGGTAAGAATTATGTGCAATGGCATTAATCTGTCAAGCTGTTTATCCAAGCAAAAGGGAAAATGGGGTATCTTGATGGAAAAAAGGAAAAACCCGAGGCTGATGAACCGGATTATGATAAATGGATGACTGAAAATGCCTTGGTCATGACATGGTTGACTAACTCCATGGATCCTGATATCAGTCAAACTTATTTGTTTCTTGATACGGCTCAGAAAATTTGGGATGCTGTTAAAGAATATTATTTTGACCTGGGCAATGCTTCTCAGGCTTTTGAACTCAACACCAAGGTAAGAGAGTTACATCAAGAGGGGATGTCTGTTACTGAATACTTTCTTGCTTTAAAAACTCTGTGGCAGGAGTTGGATCTTTATGATGCAGCAGATCTTCAAGGTTTAAAAGCTAATGCAAGGTTTAAAAGTTACTTAGAGAAAAGACGTCTCTATGATTTTCTTGCTGGCCTTAATCGTGATGTTGATGATGTTCGTGGAAGGATATTGGGACAGAACCCGTTACCTTCTATTGCAGCTGCTTTTTCTATGGTACGACGGGAGGAACTTCGTCGAAAGGTAATGTTGGGAGACAAGAACTCTAAATCCTCCGATGTATCTGCCTTAGTAGCAAAAGATACTCCTCGTCCCCCTAGTGATGCAAAACATTCTGACCGATGGTGTTCTCATTGCAATAAGAGGCATCACACTACTCAAAGGGACTAGTAGCTGGAAACAAGTAAAAAACTCTAGAATATTCTACATTCCGACGACGGGGCAGAATATTTTAATTCTGTTCTTGGTGATTACCTAACCAAGCAAGGTATCATCCATCAAAGTTCTTGTCCTAACACCCCTCAACAAAATGGGGTGGCTGAAAGAAAAAATAGACATCTCATTGAAGTTGCTAGAGCCCTCTTGTTTACGATGCATGTCCCTAAATACCTGTGGGGGGAGGCTGTCTTGATTGCCTCATATCTCATCAATAGGATGCCCTCTCGTGTCCTGAATTTTCATTCTCCTATATCTTGCCTTACCCATTTTTTTCCCTCTTTTCGGGCTCTATCTTACCTTCCTCCAAAGTTATTTGGCTGTGTGGTTTTTGTTCATATTCCTCCACATCAAAGGTCCAAACTTGATCCAAAGTCTATTAGATGTGTCTTCATAGGGTATCCTCCTAATCAAAAAGGTTATAAGTGCTACTCACCTTCTCTTCAAAAGGTCTTTGTTTCTATGGATGTTACTTTTTATGAAACACAATCATTTTTTCCCTCGACTTCTCTTCAGGGGAAGCCTATCGGTGTAAATGAAGACAAGTCTTGGATTCCAAATAATTCTACTGTCTTACCTTTACCCCTGGAAACATCTGTTGTTCTTTACCTTTGGAGACAGGGGGAGTTAATGTACAGGAGACAAGGACAGCAACTGTACCAGAGACTGGAGATCCTCCAGGTAAATGGGAAAAATTCTACAGCAGGCGTGAATTTCCTCAAGATCCTCTAGACTGCCAGGATTCTGACCCGAGTTCTAGTTCCAGCAATCCACTTGAGAACACTGGGACAGCTAACCTAGATATGCCTATTGCCCTTCGAAAAGGTACTAGATCTTGCACTGCTCATCCTATTTCTCATCACATTTCATATGAAAAGTTATCTCCAGGTTTTTGTGCTTTCAACATTCTATTAGATGGTACAAAATACCAAATAATATCCAAGAGGCACTTAATGACCCTAAATGGAGGGATGTTGTCTTTGAAGAAATGGATGCACTTAAAAAAAATGGAACTTGGGAGTCCGTGGCACTTCCCAGAGGAAAGAAAACTGTAGGTTGCAAATGGGTGTTCACAATAAAATTTAATGCAGATAACAGCATCAACAAATATAAGGCCAGATTGGTTGCCAAAGGATTTACTCAGACTTACGGGATAGACTATTAGGAGACGTTCGCTCCCGTTGCCAAACTTAACTCTATCTGAGTCCTACTATCACTTGCTGCCAACCTTAATTGGCCCTTGCATCAATTGGACGTAAAAAATGCTTTCTTAAATGGGGACTTACATGAAGACGTTTACATGGATCCACCACCTGGTTTTGAAGAGGGAGATGGTTCAGTATGCATGTTGAAGAAGTCTCTTTATGGACTTAAACAATCCCCTAGAGAGTGGTTTGAAAAGTTTACTCGTGTTGTTAAAGAAAGAGGATTTATCCAAGCTCAGACTGATCACACTTTATTTTTTAAACACTCCGATAATGGCAAAATTGCTATCCTCATTGTTTATGTTGATGACATAATTGTCACAGGTGATGACTGGGAGGAAATAAAATCTTTAAATGAGGGTTTAGCTAATCAGTTTGAACTGAAGGATCTTGGATCACTCAAATATTTCCTTGGAATGGAAGTTGCTCGTAGCAAGGCAGGAATTTTCTTATCTCAGAAGAAATATATCCTAGACCTGCTACAAGAAACAGGTATGCTTGGGTGCAAGCCTGCAAAAACTCTAGTTGAACCCAATATTAAATTGGGAATTGAAGATGGAAAAGATGTTGACAGGGAGCAATACCAAAGGTTGGTAGGGAAACTGATCTACTTATCTCACACTCGGCCTGATATTGCATTTGCAGTTACCATGGTTAGCCAATTCATGCATTCTCCCAAGGAAAAACACCTTAGTGCAGTTTATAGAATCCTCAAGTACCTCAAAAACACCCCTGGTCGAGGAATGCTCTTTAAAAGGGGACACAAGAGGATGATAGAAATCTATACAGATGCAGATTGGGTTGGCTCTGCTATGGACCGAAGATCCACTTCAGGATATTGTACCTATGTCTGGGGAAATCTTGTGACCTGGAGAAGTAAGAAACAAACTGTTGTTGCCAGAAGCAGTGCAGAAGCAGAATTTTGGGCGCTAGCCCATGGCATTTGTGAAGGAATCTGGTTAAGAAGACTCCTGGAAGAATTAAAGATATCTTATTCTCTACCTGTGAGACTCTATTGTGATAATAAGGCTGCAGTCAGTATTGCTCAAAATCTGTACATCATGACAGAACCAAACATGTGGAGGTTGATCGTCATTTTATCAAAGAATAATTGGAAGAGGGTAGTGTATGTTTGTCATATATACCTACCAAGGAGCAAACAGCCGACATTCTCACCAAAGGATTACACAAACGCATCTTTGAGGATTTAATTAGCAAGTTGGGGATGATCAATATATATCTCCCAACTTGAGGGGGAGTGTAGAATATTCTAGAGTTTTTTACTTGTTTCCAGCTACTAGTCCCTTTGAGTAGTGTGATACCTCTTCGGTTACTGTGTATTTTATTTATTACTTCTACTCCTTAACTACCTTGTAATCTGTATATAAAGATCCCTTTGGGTGTCAATCAATATATGAAAAAATACATTTCAGTCTTATTTCATCAGTTTAACACCAAAAAAAGTATGGATTTATAATAGTATAGGTAAAACTATGAAGTCTACAAAGTTAATAAGAGAAATTTCAAAAGTATCACAAATTAATAGATAATAAATACATCAGTTACTAAAGACAGTAATTGAAGAAAAGTATGCCAAATAGAGGGTTACTCACTTGCTAAGAATCTTTAGGTGAATAGCACTAGTATGCACCTCCTTCGCCTGGTACAGACATAAGAAAAAGCAACATAAAGAATCGCTCAAGAGAAAAGTGTCTCTAACGATTAAAATAAGAGACCACTATACACACCGCACACACACACACACACATGAATAGAGACCTTGTAAACATGCAATCATGATTCTCTGCTTAGTAATATTACCTCAAGCCTGTTTTCCCAATCAGTGCCATATAAATTACTCAAAATTGGACCAGCCTTAATAACAAACTGAGGAAGTTCTCTAAAAAAATCTGCAATACTGTTGAATACAAGATAAATGACAACAGTAAATAATAGAACAAACTAGAAACTAATGAAACTAGAAAGGGCCAGTGAAATACTTAAGCTTCAACGCTCTCAATATCTGGCACAAGGTAAGCCCATTGTTATCAGTCTCCTCCTTCTCACTCTCCGCATTTTTCACAGTCAATCTCTTGATAGAGTATAAAATAAAGGAAAACCAATAACGTTCTGCTTCCTCGGACTGAAAAAGAGTTATACAGCCTCATGAATTCAAATAAAGACTTAAGGTACAAGTTATATTTTATACTAAATAATAATAATGTTCACAAATACCGTTCCATTCCCAATTGATAAGACATTTGTCAGTAACACATGTTTGGTTTCTCCAAACAGCTTCATTGCTTGTCTACAGCTGTTCTCTTCCAATGATAGCCCACTCTGTCATCAAGAAAACACATTAATGTAAAGTTCAATGCTTATATACATGTATATATTTAAAACCACAATAAAAAAAAATCGATAAATATTTATGATTTTTATCATGTCATGATGATATTTATCATAAGAATAATACTATTGTCGCCGCAGCAATTACATTCATGGATCTCACAGAATTCAACATTCTCTAAAATCGATATCACACAATTATGCGCACGAAACAAAAAATCAGTACAGGATAATGTTCTTCTCGGTTGACATGAACAAGTACTTAAAAACTAAAATTTTACAAATTACTCAATTGCAGCATAAAACAGGGGGAAAAAACAATAAAATATACGTATAATATAATAAAGCAGAAAAAAAAATTATCCTGAATTCAAAATAGAAACATCATGATGATATATAAAATAAAACAAAATAATGCAATATAATAAAGCCAAAAAATATAAACATAAAAACAAAGCAATTGATCCAAAATTCCAATGAGAAGAAAAATTCGAAAACACGAAACCGAAAAAACAACAAAAAGGAGAAACAAGAACCTCGCAGAACTCAGAGAAGCGAGACTCAGCGGTGTCCTCCATTCTTCACACGCGAATTTCGCAACAGTAATCGACCTCGGAACTCTCTGTGTATCAAACGACTTAGTTTCGGTGGTAGAAACGCGCAGCTTTGATGCGCCGTACATACACGGCCGCCGGCGGAAGAAGACGATGAGAGGAAGCAAGAGTTCAGTGTGTGACTGTGTATTTGATTTTTTTTTTTGGGTAATATCTTTTTTCATTATTATAAGGAAAAGGTTGTTAACTTTGGCGCCATTTCTTCGTTACTCCAGTCTTTTCCCGCCAAAACTCTGATCTTTATCTCCTTTATATTTGATTTTTATTTATATTTTATTGCATAATACTTATTTTTATCTTCATTAATATTAATATACATACAAAAGTTTTAGTTTTTATTTTATTTTTCATCAATTTTTTTCTTAGATAGCTATGCTTAGGTGTGTAAATGGGCTAGGCCGGCCTAGAGAAACTTACGACCTAGCCTATATTAGGTCAGACCTATTACAAATAGTAAAATAGAATACGCTTAGGCGTTTAAAAAAAACCTATTTAAAAAATAGGTCATAGACTTTTTTGTACATGTCGGACCTATAAGCTTATATCTTATTATTTATTTTAAATAAAATTATTATTTTATAATTTTGAATAATAAATTAATATTATTTTAGTTATCCTTTTAATTTTTGAATGTTTAACAGGCTAAAAAGCCTAGGCCAAGACTTTTAATTTTTAAATATAGGTCAAACCAGACCTGTAATTGAAGGTCTACACAGACTAAAAGGTCAGGCCACCAGATCCAGTATTTTTTACACAAATTTAACATATTTAAGTCAAAGTCTAGCCTAATCCACCCTATTTATACCTCTAGCTATGGTTAATTGGCAATTTATATGTGCCAAAAATTTGGCTTTTAATATTTTGTAAACTTATCCAACTAACTATCGTTATTTTGTTATTTTTTATTAGTATTGTTATTGTGAATGGTGTTATTTTTAATTCCTGTTTGAATAAATATAAATTAATTTTTTCTAATTATAGTTATCTTTTTTTCTATTTTTAACATAAGCGCTTTTTAATTATAGATGGGGAAGGATATTGTAACAACTAAGTTGTATTACTATCATGTTATTACCAATCAATCTTACCGTTAAATCGATTATGTTAATCCAACGGTTATATTTATTTCCATCTTTGTATGGTCATGCTTTTTCAAATTTAATACTTTATATTTATTTCCACCTTTGTATGGTTATGATTTTCCATATTTAATGCTTTCACTTTAAATATGGGGAATCATAACCATACAAAGATGGAAATAAATATAACTGTTGGATCAACATAATCTATCTAACGGTGAGATTGATTGGTAGTAACATGGTAGTAACACAACTTAGTTGTTACAATATCCTTTCCCTTAAAGATTTGGGATGTATTTTGAATTATTTATTTGTACTTTTTTATTTATTTTTAGATGTTAATTATTGTTATATTTATTTTAGGAAGTTTTATTATTTTTAAAATTTTAGATTTAGAATTTTGAATCAATTTGTAATCTATATATATATATATATATATATATATATATATATATATATATATATATATATATATATATATATATATAAAGGAGAGTTCAATGTTGGAAAGTTTTGCCAAGTATCACTCTCTGGTTAATTCTACAAATTGTATTCACACTACATGGCATATACAAACTTTCTTTATTGCGTAAATTGGAAAAAATATTTCTTTTAAAAATCGAATTTTAATTTTTAAATCGAATAATTAAATGACCATTTGTGGTGGCAGACAAGGCACTGAATGTCCCAATGCCCATCACATTGGAATTGGTCAGCTGATTTAATTGCTTTTTACATTAGAATTTTGAAATTCGAATTTTGATTGCTCATTTAATTGGAATGACTCATCTGATCTAAAATTCGAATTTTTAAATGGAATGACTCAGCTGTTTTAATTGCTCATCTGATCTAAAAATTTCAAACTTTGAAATGGAATGACTCAACTGTTTTAATTGCTTTTTACATTGGAATTGCTCATCTGATCTAAAATTCGAATTTTGAAATGGTTTCAAATTTTGAATTTAAAATATGGATGGTGGAAAAAGATTTGGAGAGTTTTGGGTGGCATTCATTTTGTATAAATAGAGAAGTTGTGTTTCTTATTTTTTTTAGCTTGCCTACGATTTCTTTCTTCATTTTTGTTTGTAGGGGTTGTTGTGTTGGTATTATTTTTTGTTTTCTTTCGCTTTCTCCGATTCGTTTCATATTTTAATGGAAGGTTCTTCTTCTACAAACGTGCCAGGATTGAGGAAAGTGTTTGTTGATCTTTGCAATGCTATCTTCTTATAAACAAGACGTAAATAATCTTTACAATTCGTTTTCTTTTTTTTTTATACCAATTATCTTTTTTTTCATTTTGTAGGGCAGAAGTTTTCATCGTATTTCATTCTGTGTGGTTCTTGCCTACGTTTTTTTTCCTTCGTTCGTATGTGTAGCGGATGTTGTATGATTATTATTTTTGTTTACCTTATAAACAAGTTGCTATGAATTCGTGTTCTGTTTTTTGTATACTAATTCTCTTTTTTTCGTTTTGTAGGGCAGAAGGTTTCGTCGTATTTCATGTTGTGTGTTTTTGCCTACAATTTTTTTTCTTCGTCCATATGTATAGCTAATGTTATATTATTATTATTATTGTTTACTTTATAAACAAGTTGCTATGAATTAGTTTTTATTTTTTGTATACTAATTCTCTTTTTTTCGTTTTGTAGGGCAGAAGGTTTCATTGTATTTCATGTTGTGTGGTTCTTGCCTACATTTTTTTTTCTTCGTTCATATGTGTAGCTAATGTTATATTATTATTGTTTTTGTTTACTTTACAAGGAAGTTGCTATGAATTAGTTTTCATTTTTTGTATACTAATTCTCTTTTTTTCGTTTTCCAGGGCTGAAGGTTTCATACTACTGTGATTAGTTATTTACGTAGTAAACGCCCTCAATGTTGTGTAGTGCTTTCTTACGTTTTTTTGCTACCCGATACAAAGATTGAATGGTAATCAATGGAATAAAATGTCAACGGGTGAAGAGTTCAAAATTTATCTGCATCGAGGGTCCTTCTTCTGCAAACGTGCCAGGATGGAAGAAAGGGTTTGTCGATCTTTGCAATACTACTACAAAAGTTGCAAGGATTTTTTAAGGATTCCTGGGGATATTTTTTTGTATTCTGCGAGTTGTGGATATATTTTCTTCGTGCTTGATAATTTAAGAATGTCTGTGATGACGATTTTGGATTATTATTTTTTGCTGTTGTTGAACTATATTTAGAAATTAATCGTTGAAGCTGTTCTTGAATATTTTTAATTTGTGTGATGTTATGTTGCATCTGTTTGGTGTTCAGTTATGGTGCATGATGTTTGAATTTGTTATAATTTAAATATTGGAATTTGTTGATGTTGTTGTAAAGCCATTTGTTGGAAGGAATAAATGATGCTTTGGAATAAGTTGCATAATTTTATGGACGATGGCTGTGTTATAATTAAACATTGGGAGGGAACATCTTTTTGATGCTTAACAATCATGTATTAGGCATTTTCGTTGAGGTTTAATTAATATAAATATAAAGGCTGCACTTAAACGATGTAAGATAAGATAAAATTTCAATCGTTGTCCAGTATATAACGCTCCGCGTTTCAGTTGTTTATTCATGATTTCAATATCAGGTTAAAAGTTTTCAAGCTTTTTCGATTTTTGTTGAAACTGAAAACAGATTTGATTTTTATTAAAATACAATTAAGGATAGGTTATTCTACCTACTCCCTTCTTGCCTACCTTTTGCCTACCTCTTTCGTTACTGTTGGATTACAATCTAATCCAACGGTCCATAATTGCGAAATAAAATAACCTTTTTTTTTTTTCTCTCTCATCTCTTCCTCTCACACCCTTTCTCTCTCCTCCCATTTCTCCGTTCCTCTGCTATCCGGACACATCCTTTTAATCTCTCGATACCTATTAAACGCTATGCGATTCATCACAAGCTCCGATATACTGATCAATTTCTCATTTTTCAACCTTTCTGTCTTCAATTTCTCATTTTTCAATTAACCTTTTCTTCTTTTGTTCACTCCAGGTCTTTCCCAGATCGTTATGGAAGCTCAGAAATCGATGGGTTGGTTTCACGATGAGTTCGATTCTGGAATCCGTCCTAAGAGCCGAAAGCGGCTTTTTCGAGTGTAGTTGCTTAGATGTCATGTCAGATTTTTTGTTTTGGGGTTCTTTGTTCTTTTCTTTTTCATGATTCTGTGATTTTCTTATCTAGTTTTTGTCTTATAGGAACGATAATGATGTAGATGAATCTTTTTTTAAGTACAAAATTGATCATGCCATTGCAGCGTTTCTATTCTTATGTATTTTTAACTTATGTTTTTCTTTTTATTTTGAAATTGTGGAAGGGTAATGATGTGCTTGTGCAATATTTTTGTATCAATTGATTCTTCAACATCAACAACCTCACCGTAAATTAAAAAGGTCCAAAAAAATAAAAAAATAAACTGATAAGAACGATGATTTCAAATACTGTGGTCGATGAATCGCATAATGCTTCCGCGTGCGTTCACCTCGGCAGAGATATAAAGGAAAAATAAATAGATATCAAGAGATCAAAATGATGTGTCCGGATCGCAGAGGAAGAGAGAAAGGGGAGGAGAGAGAAATGGTGTGGGAGGAAGTGAGGAGAGAGAAAGAAAAAAAGAGTTATTTTATTTCGCAATTATGAACCGTTGGATTAGATTGTAATCCAACAATAATGAAATGGGTAGGCAAAACGGGAGTAGGTAAAATAACCTATCCCATGAAAAATTATGTGAACTTGATATGTGGGGAAAGAGTTCAGCATTTAATATTTATGCAGTGAAAAAAGATATATATAATAAATTTAAATTTAATATAAAAATATAGAATAAACAATAAAATATTTAAAATTATAAAAAAACATTTATAATCGATAAAAATT